GGCTAGGTGTTTGGTAATACGTGCAAGTGAGAGGCATAAGGTCAATTTATGGGGGTACGAATAGAACAGGTTCATAATTCTAGTATCAATTCTTTTGAAGTTATAAAATTTAATTCATTAATATTAATATTCAAGTTTAATATAGTTTATTGTTTTTTTCCCATTTTGTTTTTAGTATTTTATTATTATTATAATTTGATAAGCTCTAGTTGATACGCCACTGGAGGCAACCACTAATTTGTAATCAACTATTTTACCATATACTTGTCAGCATTCTCTGCTTAATGTAATAATATACATATACTGATTGCAGAATAAAATTGAATAAAAAAATTAATATTAATGTTGTGCATTTATTCGTGCAATGGGGGATAAAGTTGAAAAGTTTGTGGATAAAAATCACCTCGAAAAAGATGCGACTGATGGAACGAATTATTGTTGTTTCAATATATTTATAAGGAAGAAATTACTTTGAGATACGAGCAATTTGACGTGCGAGCGTATATATCACACACATTGTAAATAACGTAAGTTATTTAACGTTAATAATCATTTATGCAGGCCTATTGCGAACAAAATTTTGTTTGTCTTTTATTTTTTGTCGCGGTTTATTTATAAGCAATATAAATTGGACCAAATTCAATAATATTTATACAACTTTCCCAATTACATTTATACAACTTGTAATGAGAAATAATTTATTCCCAATTATTTCATCAGAACTTTCAAAGTTAAATCAAAGGCAAACTTTCGACGAAAGTTCCTCATCTGAAATTATATTTCAAAACCAAACTTCACCGTGAAAGCTTTTACATTTGCTTCTCGGATATAATATTCGATGACAATTCACTCATTCAATAATATACTAAGGGTTTTATGAAGGACACGAGTTTATTCAGGGACGCATGGGAAAAAAAGATTTGCTTTGCGTGACCGCGCAGGTTTCCGAAGCCATTAGAAAAACACGGTATCATCGCACTTATAACAGCTGTTGGGTGAGTCGGCAAACTGACGGCGGCCGTCTCTCTTGGTTAATGTGCTTATTTTTTATCTGTCCGGTAATTAATTGCACTTTATTATACCTTATAATTTTCTTTCACGATTTATATCGATGCCAGACTAGACAGGCATCATTTTAACTTGTGATTAATAGACCATCGAAGTAATAAAGACTGTCTCTTTCATTCTTAGTTTTAGTTGGTCCTATAAAATTAAGACTCAATATATCTTATATATATAAAAATGAATCGCAAAATGTATTGGTAGGCGCATAACTCAACAACGCCGGGACCAATTTGGCCATTTTTTTTCTTGAAATGTTCGTTTAAGTCCAAGGATCGATCTTACGATGAATAAAAATTCGAATAATTGCCGGGAAAACCCTAAAAACAGCCCTTCTCTTTTTCTCATACAAACGTTTTCTAACTAAAACGTAGAATCAATTTAAGCTTTAATTTTTTTTATATTGTGTAAATAAATAAGGTGAATTAGAGAATTTATAAAGGTAAACTGGTGGACAGGTAAATTGGAGGTTATGTAAAATGGTAAAGAGAAGAACTGGTAGATAGGCAAACATGTAGACAAATAAATAGGTTAACAGGTTAATTGGTAGACATGTAGAACGGGATGTGAGGTAAATTTGTAGGCCGGTAAAATGGTAGATTTATAAACAGGTTGATAGGTAAATTGGTAGACAGGTAAATTGGTGAAAAGGTAATTTGTTGGTCAGGTAAATTGAAGGATATGTAAAATAGTAGACATAACAACTGGTAGATAGACAAATAACAAAACGGATAAACAGGTAGTACCAATAAAATTGGTAGACATGTGAAACGGGTTGATAGGTAAATAGGTTGACTTACCTGTAAATCCTTGGTAAAGTTACTTGTAAATTGATTAACAAAGTTTATAGGTAAATTTGTAGACAAATTGTTGAATAGATAAATTGTTGAACAGATAGTAGTAACGTTAAAATAAATGTAACAAATACACATCTTTGTTCAACTTTTTAATTTAAACTAAAACACGGCAAAGCGTGAACGGGTACAGCTAGTTAAATAAAATTTATATCATTTTTTACTATATTAAATATGTGATTATCGTGTCAATTGTTAATTTCATATTCATATTCATATTACACATTTTATAAGTTAATATTGATATAAATATTAATTATTGATATAAATATTAAACATTTATATCATTTTTTACTCTATTAAAAATATGACGATAATGTCAATTGTCATTTTATAGGAAAGGTAGGGCGGAGCACAAAGACTATCGAACTATGTTCATTGAAATTTTCCAAGTAATTCCTGGCTATAAAAATTAGTTTTTTTTATTATTTTTCTAAAACTTGTCATCTGTTTCTTTTTGTCCCAGGGTGTGATAAGAAAGTATAGCTAGGGCAAACAGATTCAACATCGTTTTTTTTTGTTTCAAAAGGATTTTACGTTACATTGTTTGCCCTATATGACATACAATTTTGTTTGAAATATTTTTCACAAAGATGTTATTGTATATAATCTTGATCTGGTATTTATAAAGGTATATTTATCAGTAGAAGTCAGTTGAGTTTTTTTTACTATGTTCCTAAAAAATAATTTTAAATAAATTTTACGTTACTTTGCTTAGACTATGTTAAACACAAATTTCATGGAAACATTTTTTACAAAGATTTCATTGTATGTAACATTGATCTGGTAATTTATCAGAAATATTCATCAGGTATTTTAATATCTATTTCTTTAATTTAATTTATCTGTTGTAAAAATGCTTTTTTAAACTTAATTTACATTTTAATTTACTATTTTTTATTGTTTACACCTCTGCCAGGGGAAAGGTTCAGTCGATCATTTCTATCCCATCCAACATGCTTATATAAAGATTAAATAAAAATACTGTTGAATCTAATTTAAAATTAACAATACATCTTATAAAATAATGAAATAATGTTTACTTAAAAATTTCATCAAAGTCTCGTAAACTAAACAACAGTGCTCACACCAAAAAAACTAACAACGACAGAAAATTGGTATGGTCATCACAATTAGAGATTTATGTACATACAAATTTCATCACAAAGTTAAAAGACAATGTTTGTTTCGCATTTTACTAAAAACCCAGATAGTAAGAAAAACTCATAGAAGATCAAAAGTAGTTCTGATTGGGTTCCATTTCTCAGGGCATTTGTTGAGCTGTAATAAAATCTTCTTCATGCCTCCAAATAAAAAAAGCCTTACAGGCACTGCTGCAACATGACATCACAATTTGAAGTAATAAAAAATTTTAACATGGAAGAACAACTGTGCCTGCTAATAAACTGGTTAAAACAAATGCATTAAAGTACGAAAAATATTAGTCAATAACCTGAAAGTTAAAATGTTCATAATATTACAAGACAAAAATATAGTATCTACAATGTTTTTATATTTGAAGCAGTGCAAAATAGTATTGGTATTAGTATTATTTAATATTGCATTTTAGTTTTTCTTAATATGACTCCTGAGCAATTGTTGATAACTTTAGCAATTATTTTTCTCACTGATACTGGCACTAAACAATGATTCCTAATTAAGATATATCTATATGTCATCAACCTAGACAATAGAAGAATAGAAAGACTTGAACGGCAGTAACAGAACGTTAGTCACACAAAAGAAAATACTGAGAATAGAGTAAATGAGAAATTACTGGTCTTTTATAAGATAATACTTGCGAATGGACAAAAGATATGCGTTTTCATATTCTTGAAATCATCGGATAAATAACAAGATTCTTCAGAGAATTGAATAATAAATCATTATATCTGCTGTTAGTCTTTAGATATCAGCACACATATCCTTATAAAAAATGCTCTTTTAGTTAAGTTATAATATATGATGATTTGAGTATTATGACAAGTTTTTTTTTATAATTTTCTTCAATTTAAAATTGTCTTAATTTTAAAAAAAATTTCAGCTATCTTACCTATTCTTAAAAATTTATTAAACTTATCATGTTGAAGTTTCTACCACATTTAAATATTTATATAATTGCTAATTACGACATCAACGAATGTTGTCTATGTATTTCTATTCCTGGCGACCCCCGTATGTAATTAATTAATAATATATATTAATATGTTAACATATAACGTACGATGGGGCAGAATCCCTCACCTTTGTTTTCGGGAAATCCTCGTAAATATCCGCGCAACGGGTTAAGGGTTCAATTAAAAGCTCGTAATTCATGCGGGATTAGATCTAATCCTTCTGGACCATGGCGCTATATTAATAAATCTGTTGCACGAGCCGAATGTTTATATCGCAATTAACATTATTACGTGACCGAAAGAGAAAGGGATGATTAAAATGTGGAATTTTACACACTTTGATTGAATGGATCGTGATTAATTGCTTCTTTCATTAATTATATTTTGGAGGACATGGAAAGGTTTTGGAATAAATTTTAGTAGTCATGCTCAATAATCGATTCTAAAGGTATTATTTTTTTATTGTAATATATTAAATTAATTTATTATTATATATTAATATTACAAATGTATTTTGTTAATCAAATCGACCTAAATCGCATATATATTATTTATATTCTACGTTTCATTTAATTTTACCAGTTTGTAATACTATTGAAATTAAAAAAAAAAATTGTATTGTATTAATTGTATGCAAGGATTAAACAAGAATTGGCTTATATTCAATAACAACTGAAAACTGACTTTCGCCTTAAAAA